TTGATTGATTTGCGAATGTTGAACCAGCCCTGCATCCCAGGAATGAATCCCACTTGATCATGGTGAATAATTCTTTTTATATGCCGTTGAATTCGATTTGCTAGTATCTTATTGAGAATTTTTGCATCCATATTCATCAGGGATATTGGCCTGTAGTTCTCTTTTTTTGGCTTCAACCTTTCTTTAGGAGACATAGGAAGTATGGATCCCCCTACTTCTCTGCCATGTTGGCCCTTCTCTCAGATGTTGGTGGATATTGGATCACAGATGGGCTGATACTGGAGTCTCTAATTTAGATTATTATAGACATGGGACCCTCTTTTCATATTGGTGAGTTCTATCACTTCTCATGTTTGACATGTTATCTCATTCTAGAAAAGTTCATCCTAATGATACTATATGTGAAAATAAAGACCTACAAATTAGCTGCAATGAATATAAAGTCATTCCTTCATCAGAATCCATTTCTGTTGAAAATAGTCTGTGGAAATTATGTTTAATGTATTTAACCCAATGGGTCAACTCAGCTAGGAAAATAAAGATGTCTTAGACTGCTAATTAACAAATGTAATCATAACCAAATTCAGGACCAGAGGGAAAAAAGAGCACAGAGGGCATTCCCCAATGAATCCCTAATGGAACTGGCAGCTAGTGTAATGAGTCTTCCTAAGGGGTAGGCAGTCCTCACAAACCTGGAAATGTAAGAAAAACTGCACTTCAGAGAAGTGAACTGACTTACCTGTCAAAACTCACCACTGGCAACTAGTGTTATCAGAGTCTCTGTATCTCAGGAGTTTTTCCATTAGCATAGTCCAAGTCTAACTGATCATCTAGCTGTAACATACTACAGAAATGCCATACACCTGGGCTAACCTTTCTGTTCATGTAGTATTAGGATCAGGACAGCACCTTCCAGAAACTGTTGTTCCCATTGCCTGTCACCTTTCAGGTGACACTGGGCATGCTCATGCTCTTCTAACAGACTTTCTCTCACTGCCTTGCAGCACCATGACTCCTCCCTGTGTCTCCTGCTCCTGCTCTTATGCTGTCCCTCCTAACACTGCTTCTTCTGTCTCAGGACTTCCTCATCACTTCATTTTCCTCTCTCCTGTTGGCTTAGCTCATTCCTTCCCATATCTATGCTGAGGTTCCCTGCATGCCTACTTCCAACACAGAACTTCCTTTATGGACTCCAGATGCTTGAAACTACCTGTCCATGTAATGTCTCCTCCTGAAGGTCTAAAAAAAGCATTTCAAACTCAGCATGCCTCAGGATAATGTGAATTCTCTAATTCTTATCACCCATGTGTCTTCTTGGCTCAGTGAAGTCCACCACCAACTGCTGGGTACTTCTCCTTTCTCACCCCCACATTCAGTGTATGAGATCCTAATTGCAGGTAAGTTGTGGCCATGAGGTGTTACAGGTACTTCCTCATCAATCTTAAAGTAATGTGATTGAGAATCTGAAATGAAGGTGAGCCTCAGCAAACCAGAATAGGGACATGGCCCTTCCAGGGATTCTTTATAGAAACTCTGATCCCAGGGCTGTCTGCTCTGGAAGGATGCAGTGCTACCACCTGCTTGGTCAAATGAGGAAGTTGTCCAAATCTGAAATTGCTTCTGCAAGTGGATCAATTTGTCATTATACCTATTTAGACAAATATGTCAGTCTCAAAATGGAAGAAGTGTTTAATTCAGTCAAACAGATTGAAGGCAAAAATATATAAAATAACAGTTGTTTTTATTTCTCTCCTCTCTGACTTAGTTTGTGTTTCTAGGTGCAGTTTCGAATTTTAGTAACTGAAATTCTCTCTGTTACCAATAGTTAAAAATAAAACAAAATAACACAAAAGCCACTAAATGGTATCCCTGAATGGATGGCACCACTGCCAAGAATTAAATGCGCTGCTCCCACTCCCCACTTGTGATAAAGTGGCAGCTCCCTAGTCTTAACCTGGGACTTTTTTGGGTTGCTTCTGGCTGGCTTCAAGAGTGATTCTTGGCTCTCCCACAGGCTCACCATAAATGCAGAGTGCCAGCTACAGCTGCACAACTTTCCCATGGATGAACATTCCTGTCCACTGATTTTTTCCAGCTGTGAGTACTAACTTGGGGTATAAATGCTTTGTAAAGGAATGTGTAGCTTCTATTGATTTTAGGCAGATAGACATGTGATTAGCATCATAGCATCACTGTGCAACCAGAAAGAGTTGATAATGGTTTTGATATTAGACACATGGGCATTTTGTCTCCAGACATTATTACATAGGATGCATGTTACTAAATAAGTATCTTTGAAAAAGCTGTGATCAGCTTGACCATTCCTTGTAATATTGGAAGAGTCAGAAATTGGTGAACAGTCGACTTACCAAAGACCCTTATGCTAATGGATTGTGCATATTATTTGGAAGTATGTAAAATTCATTTGCAATATTTTGGGGTTTAGTATCATCCTCAAGCAAGCTGTTTTATATTCTGAATAGAAAGATTAAAAAATTCATTTAAATATATTTATATTTGTCTCATTGCACTCTTGTAGGATGTAATTTTTTTGGTACTGTATCTTCCAATAATTACTAACAAGTAATCTTTCACAGATTCTTAAAGACAAAATCTAATACATACAAAGATACATATAAAAGGAAATATCAAATTTATGTGTTTATATAAAAATAACTTTTTAAGTAATAGTCAATATAGATCTGTAGAATTTAGTATACTTCAATTTAAATGTGTTAATCACAAGTAGTTAAGTATTACTCATAAGAATTTAGTTAAATTTATTGACCTTTTATAAAATTGCATACAGTGCCTGACAAACAAATGTGATGAAATCTCAAGCAGAAGGTTTTGTGGGTTTCTTCACTGGAAATGAAAGATGAAAATGAAATAAGAGATGAACACACTTTATAGTTCATTTTGGATCCAGAAAAAGACAAGATAGAAAGCAAAATTTCACTAATCTCCTAGGTTGGGTAAATATATATATATATATATATATATATATATATATATATGTATTTTAATGTTTATTTTTGAGAGAGAGAGAAACAGAATGCAAGAAGGGGGAGGCAGAGAGAAGGAGACACAGAATTTGGAGCAGGCTCCAGGCTCTGAGTTGTCAGCACAGAGCCTCATTTGGGGGCCTGAACTCATGAACCATGAGATCATGAACTGAGCTGAAGTCAGAGTTTAACCGATTGAGCCACCCAGGAACCCCAAAAAATTTTTTGTAGAGATTAATTTAATTGGTTGATTCCCAATTTAAAGCAATACATTCCCTGAACCATTATACTGTTGATAACACAAATTTTCAACGCTTACTAAGTAAATGTCTAAAGTATATGAATGTCTGATAAAGTTGTCTGTAGATTACTTTAGGCCTGCTATTCTCTATTTAATTACTTTACCAGTTATGGAACCATTCAGAGGCACTTAGATGGCTCAGTCAGTTGAGCTTCCAACTCTTGATTTTGGCTCAGGTCATGCATGATCTCACTGTTTGTGAGATCAAGCCCTGCATTAGGCTCTGTGCTGACAGTGGGAAGCCTGCTTGGGATTTTTTTTCTCTCATTTCTCTCTGCCCCTCCCCTGCTCATGCTCCCTCTCTCTCTCAAAATAAATAAATAAACTTAAAAAAATTATGGAACCATTCAAATAGTTTAGTTCTTTGTGAGTCACTTTGGTATATGCATATAATTTTCTTAGTGACTTTTCCACTTCACTGTTTATTAGTGTCTTCAATCAATTCAATTTAGCTATGTAGATCCTTCCAACGCCCTGGTATGCTATTAATTCATCTATTGACTTTATAATTTCAATGATTGTTTCTCATTATTAGACATTCTAATTTTTTTCTTTTTTCTAATTTTTTATGCAATTTGACAGCACCTTATTTCTTCACTAAATGTTTAATGTCATCTTCCATTTATTCAAATTTTCAAAATGTTCTGGTGTCTTTGTTGGAGCAATTTGCAGAATTTGTTGTTTTGTTTTACTCCATTACATGGAATTAATTTGCTTTTCTGATGAATTAGTAATTAGTTCATTTGAACTCATGTTTCTTGGAATTTTTTCTGTGGTATTTCTTTGAGGTTTACATTTAAAACAGTTTGTTTTTTTTTTCTAAAGATGTTTTGCTCTGGCTTTGCCTGGTTGTCTCTATTACTTTAAAGATTAAGCTTGGATTCCTGGGCCACATAGAATACGTGAATTCTAGCTACATGTCTGATTTCAGGCTGTGTTTTTACATTCTTGGGAAGGACTTTTTTGCTTTTTTGTTGTTCCCAAAGCCAAATATGGACAAGGAATCTCCTTTTAGGGAAAATTTCTCCTCAGTCTACAAGCTGAGGTTTTTCCCTTCCCTGTGGAAGCACCTCAAATGTCCATTGACAGATGCATAGATAAGTAAAAAAAAAAAAAAAAAAAAAATGGTCCATACATACAATGGGATATTATTCATACTTAAAAAAGATGGGATTTCTGTCACATGTTGCAGCAAGGATGAAATTTGAGAGCATGATGCTAAATGAAATAACACAATCACAAAAAGACAAATACTGTATTGTTTCACTTATTTGAGGTATCAGAGGGCAGTCACAATCAAAGGACAGAATGTCAAAAGTTGGTCACCAGGACCTGGAGGTAGAGGGAATGAGGAGTTACAGTTGAATGGGTATATAGTTTTATTTTTGTAAAATAAAAAGAACTCTGGAAATGGATAGTGGTGATAGCTACACAACGTTAATATACTTAATATCGCTGAACTGTACACTTACCATTTGACATTATGTGCATTTTACCACAACAAAAACATTGAACAAAAAGTGTAATAACTAGAATAAAACATTCATTCGAGGGCTCAGCAGCAGATTTGACCATAAAGAAGGAAGAATCAGCATACTTAAATGCAGATTCATTATCTTTTTTAATGTTTATTTATTTATTTTGAGAGACAGAGTGTGTGTGTGTGTGTGTGTGTGCAAATAAGGGAGGGGCAGAGAGAGGAAGGGAGATTTTCCCAAGCAGGCTTCATGCTGTCAGTGCAAAGCCCAACATAGGCCTCAATCTCAGGAACCATGAGATCATGACCTGAGCCAAAACCAAGAGTCAGATACTCGACTAACTGAGCCACCCAGAAGTTCTAAATTCATTTTCATTATAGAGTCCAAAAAACATAAATACAAAAGAATTAAGAAAAATGAACAAAGACTCAGAGACTTATGGAATATAATTAAGCTTAGCAACACGAGCATAAGGAGAATCCAAGAAAAAGAGGAGAGAAGAAGAAAGCAGAAAGAATATTTGAAGAAATAATAACCAATAACTTCCCAAATTTGATGAAATATGTGGATTTACACATCCAAGAGCTCAATGAATTTCAAATAGCATAAACTAAAAAATATCTATACTTAGGCATATTATAATCAAACTGTCAAAAGGCAAAGACAAAGAGAAAGCAACAAGAGAGAAGCAACTCATAACCAATAATTAGTCCTTAATAAGATTAACAGCTGATTTCTTATCAGAAACCATGGAGGCCAGAAGGCAAGGAGATGACATTATTTAAAGGCTGGAAGAAAGACTATCATCCAAAATTTCTATATACAGTAAACCTACCCTTTAAAACTGAAGAAAAACCTTTCCAAATGAATTAGAATGGAGAATTTATTGCTAGCAGACAAACCTATCCTACAAGAAGTACTAAAGGCAGTCTTTCAAGCTGAAATGAAAGAACATAAGGGGGTAGAAATGAAGCTATATGAGCAAAAAAAAATTTACGTTCTATTAAAATTAATTTGATACTAATCCATAGTAGATTGTTTTAAGACATTAATTGTAATAGGATAATCACAAAAAATTAGCTAAAAGTAAAATTAAAGGAAATGACACAGAACTTAAATTTTTGCACTAAAAGATAGCTATTTAACACACAAAAAAGACAGTAGTGAAGAAATAGGAGCAAAAATGACATGACATAGATAACAAATAGTAAAATGACAGACATAAATTCTATCATATCAGTAACTACACTGACTGTAAAAGGATTAAACACTGCAAACAAGAGTCCGCGGTTGGAAGAAAGGGTAAAAGATTATGATCCTACTATGTACTGTCCATATGATACACAAGTTAGATTCAAACACAAATCATTTGAAAGTGGAAAGGTGAAATAAGATATATTATGTAAATAATGACCAGAAGAGAATTGGATTGGTTGTATTAACATAAGAAAAAAAAGCATTAAGGAAAATTGCTATTAGAGACAAAGGACATTTTATAATGATAAAATGTGTCAGCACATCAAGAAATTCAAAACAATAATAAATATATATACATCTACTAACAAAACATTAAAATACGTAAAGAAAAAGTTGACAGATTTGAAGGGAAAAACAGACAGTGAGCAATAATAGTTAGATACTTTAATACCACACTTTCAAAAATGGATAGAAAAACTATAAACAAAAGTTCTAACAGGAAAACAGAAGACTTAGACAGTTCAAAGTAGCTAGATCCAGTAGATATCTAGAACATTCCACTGAACAAGAACAGAATATACATTCTTCTTAAGTGCACATGACACATTATGCAAGACAAGCCATATATTAAGTAATGAAACAAGTCAATAAATTTAAAAGGATTGAATTATGATTATGGGATACAAGATAAGTATATAAACAACATTTGTATTTCTATAAACTAGAAATGAAAAACCTGACAATCAAAGTAAGAAAACAATTACATTTACAAAAGTATCGAAAAGAATACAATACTTAAGAATGAATTTAACAAAATAAGTGCATGATTATATGTTAAAAAGTGCAAAAATATTGTTGAAATGAACAAAAATCTAAACAAATGGAAAGGCATTCTATGTTTATGAACGGAGACTTAATATTGTTAAGGTGGTAATGTTTTCCAAAATAATCTATAGATTCAGTGCAATACTTATCACAACCTCAGCAGCTCTTTTTCCCTGACACTGACAAACTGATTCTAAAGTTTATAGGGAAATGCAAGAAATACAGAATAGCCAAAACAATCTTCAAATAAGAACAGATTTAGAGAGCTCACATATCTAATTTTAAAGCTTA